CAAGCTGATCCAGCAAATCATCGATTCTCGGAAGTGGATATTTGTTCTTGATGGTTACTTTGTTCAATTGTCTATAATCAATGCACAATCGGAGGCTTCCGTCCTTCTTCTTTACAAAAAGGACTGGAGATCCCCAAGGTGAAACACTCGGTCTGATGAAACCCTTCTCAAGTAGCTCTTCAATTTGCTTTTTCAGTTCCGCTAACTCTGAAGGGGACATCCGATAAGGAGCCTTAGAAATTGGCCCTGTACCGGGTACCAATTCAATTGAGAACTCTACCTCACGCTTTGGGGGTAAACCGGAGACTTCGTCTGGAAATACATCCGCAAATTCTTTAACAATTGGGATATTTTTCACGCCTTCATCAATCTCAGCTTGGATAGAGAAGAAAACCATGTAGGCCTGGCAACCCTTCTTCATACATCTATCAACTTGTGCCGCCGACAAGAAAACATGATCTTGAGTCTTGATTGGGGTCACCGACAAAGAAGATAAAGACACACTCCTCTCTCTACAATCTAGGATAGCACCATTTGCAGCCATCCAATTCATTCCCACAATTACATCCATACCTCTCAGTGGTAGGATAATTAAGTCCATAGTTGTTTTCCTATTTTTAAACTCGACTACTAGGTTAAGGCATGCCTTAGCAGTCCTTACAGATTCTCCCGCAGGAGTAGACACATTCATATCAAAAGGTAAAATACACACAGGTAAATCAAGGTTCTTTACACAAGTTTCAGAAATAAAAGAGTGTGTAGCACCCGAATCAAATAGTGCAACAATATCATGATGAAGGATTTTGATGTTACCTCTAATGGCATCTGGGGAGTTCATGGTGTCCTGAGTAAGAGCAAACACACGGCCAGAGACAGTAGGATGTTGGGAAGGGTTCTTCATATTTGAGCCCTGGTTGTCCCCACAAAACTTTGCAATGTGACCGGGTTTCCCACAAATGTAACAGACCCAGCACTGTCCGAAATGACGACGCCCGCATTTAGTGCACTGTTGAGAGCTCGCTGTACTCGGGGCAGGTGTAGATACTGTTGGGCTCCTCTGTGACCCGTGATAACTACTATGATAGCTCCTCTGTCCTTGGCCCCTTTGAAATGGACCCTTCTGCCTTCCTTGGTTCCATGAGCTACTCGAACCCTGATGGTTTTTCTTCATAATGCCTCCGGTGGGTCGAGGGTAGGTTGGGGGTCTACTATATGAATAACCCCTCTTCTCTCTCTCAACCTCCTTCTTACTGCGAGCTACTACTTGTAGTTTTATGCACATTTCATCATAATCTCGGATATCTAGATGAGCCAATTGTTCCCTCAATTCTGGTCTAGCCTTCTCCAATAAGCGCTTAGCCTTCCATTCGGAATCATCCCTATACTGCAGGTACGTGGAGTATCTAGATAACTCCTGAAACTTAGCAATGAATGTGTCCTCATCAAGGTTCCCTTGCTTAAAGGCATGGAATTCCGCTTCCTTCTCAGACCTTAACTCTGATGGAAAGTAATGCCTGAATAATTTTTCCTTGAATTCCTCCCAGGTGAGTGTAGAATCATCCCTGGGCCCTGCTGTCTCCCACCAATCTCTTGCTCCTTTCACTAGGAGCACTAATGCTACTTGTACTTTTTGATTGCTGGTGCATGTGACTACTCGAAAGATGGATTCGAGTCTCTTCACCCATTCCTCTACCACGGATGGTTTAAGGTTACCATCAAACATAGGAGGGTTAAACTTCCTAACAGTTTCCCACACATCAGTAATGGTCGGTGGGGCTCTCTGTTCCTCCTGCCTAATTTCCTTCCTTCTAGACTCATGGTCTCTCGGAGTGGCAGGATGTGAGGAACTGCCTTCCCCCACATGACTCTCAACATGAGCCCTATCTCCATTTTCAGTTACCTTTTGCCTCTTTAGCTCCGTCAACTCTTGTTCGTATCCTTGAACCTTGTCTGTTAATGTTTTTACAAGCATTCTCAATTCCGCCAAGTCAGGCTCCTCATTTGGCAGTGGCGGTGGTAGGTGCTCATGTTGGAATCCTGAGTTACCACGAGTAACAGGCATTTTCTCTCCCCTCCTAAAGGATACAAGATATAAATAATAAAATTAGCCTAGCTATATCATGGCCATACAATGAGAAGCACCATAACAATGTATATTGCCAACCGACTATATGCTCTGATACCAATATATAACACCTCAAAACTTACAGACCGATTTTTCACAAATTATTAATTCAACAAATTATTTTTTTTTCATTGAACCCTTATCATACCCTTATCATGGTAGAAAAATTTCTACCATGATATATCCAAGACAATATACCACAGGTCTTAAAATATCTCAAAAAGCAATTAGAACTACGAGGGACAGACATGATCCTCATAGCATGTTATTCAAACCAGGTCATGAATCAAAAGGGACAGACATAATCTTGGACATATAAATGCATTTAATAAAAAGGATTAGAGTTTACATGCTCCACAAAGAAGATATGTCCTAAGTTGGCACAAGATACATTGTATAATCTAAAATAAGAGGCAACGTAAAAGATGATGTCTCATACACCATAATTACACCTCTGGTGCTTTCTCGGCCGGACTCACTCCTGTAAAAATATTAACCACGGGGAATGAGACTTAAAAGTCCCAGTAACCAAAAATTAATATGTAATGATGCATGCGGATGTAACTAATCATGCGATTGCTAAGTGGGCACACAAAACATTTAACCGAACAATACTTTCAAACAAACTGAACAAGTATTTAATTTGCATGACTGCACCTTATATCCTCCTTTCGCCATGCTCGGACGCCAAATCACCCGGCCAAAGGTGAGTTGGACCAAGCGACACGCCACTCATTGGGTCCAATGAGGGCTTACCACGTGGTAATAATTAACCGAACAGAAATTCCCATTAACACCATACATTAAAATACCCTGACAAGTCATGCATCATTCAAATATCCAAACAGAAATATATCCGAACAATAATATCTCATCATGATAAAAAAAATAAATTTTTAACCCACTTGGCAATGATTTCACGGAAGTATATAACAGTATTTATTTTCAATAATTCATAATTTTTCCAAACAACAAAACAACACATAACCATTCACAAACACACCCATCACAACACATTAATAATGGTTACCTTGTGTCTTGAATAACAAGTTCCCCTTCACAACTCCTTTTTCACCACTATCTTTGTCAATATAATCTACGTAATTATTTCACAATACTATATATTAATTTTACATTAAAATAAATAACTCTAATTTAAAGAGTTAGAAAGTCTTAAATCTATAGTCCATATTAACACTAATTTAAGATTTATGCCTCATTTAACTTCCCAAATTCTTTTCTAAAATTCTCGTACCCTAATGAACTATTTTTTTTTATCCTCAATTCACTTCTAGTATCACAATTTCATCCTTCTACATTCTAAAAATTCATCCAAAAATAAATTAAAAATTTTAGAATTATCCTGAAGCCTCAAATCACCTTTCTATAACCTCAAAAATACCTATTCATACTTAAATAAATATTTAATAATCATAGGTTTATCCCTACGTCTCAGATTCCACATAAATTCAACCATATAGATCTAGATTTTAACTCAAAAATTCTTAAACATGAGTTTCAACCTCAAGAAAATATTCTATAATATTTACTATATCCCTAAGAATTTTAACCTATATTTTTAATCCATCATATCATCAGATTAACTATCCTATAGAAAAATCCTAATCAAAATATTTACTCTATCCTACAAAATAATCATATCACTAGAAAGCTAATATTATTTAGAAAATAACTATAAAATTAATTTTGTAATTAAATAAATTTTTAAATGCTAATCTAAACAGGAAAGTTAGAACATACCTGAAGAAAAAGAAAATAATCCCCCCTTGTGAGAAAACGCCGAGCAACGTGAGAGGAAGAGAGAAAAATAATATAAAAATGGGATTGTGAGTCCCAAAATTATATTAAAAAAAAACTATAGGTTTGAATTTAATTATTCAAACCTTTGGGCCAAAAGTTGCAATTTTCTCTAAATTGCATCTTAGCCTCTCATGCTTCCTAATGCACACACCCCCTCCTTTTTATACATGAAGGCACCTCTTCTCTTCCCTCATCTAACCAATGTGGGACTTAGAAACAACAACCTTCCACCCCCTTTTTTTGTTCCTTCTACCTTCTCTCTTTTTTTTTCAACACATACATAAAAAAAAATTATTTATGTATTATATCTTAACTAAATATTGCTTATGTGGTTTTAAATTTAAATTTTTAAATTCATAATTAAATACCTAACCATAATATTATTTCTAAATAACCTCAAATAATATAAATTCCTATTATTATCATTTTTTTTCTCAAAACCTAAATTCCACAATTTCTTTATTATATAAAAAATCAGGATGTTACAATAATCGCAGTCAATTTGTGAAGAACTACTTGCTCAATGTGTATCGATTCCCCAGAGACCAGATCAGATATCTTGATGGTGAACCTAACTTTGTGGCCAAGTTTAAGAGCAAAGAAATTTCTGCTCTCTTCCTTGAGAGCCCATATGAGAAGGTTTTCCTAAGCAAGTACTGCAATACATATACTGCAATTTCTGCTGGCTATAAATTTGGAGGCCTTGGCTTTGTGAGTACCCCTACCACTTTTATTAATTTTAACTTGATTTTTGAAATTTTTATTATATTTTGATTCACACTAATAATAATAAATAAATAAATAAGCTATGGGAGTGCTTTGAAAGTGCTCCATATCTAGGTGTTGCCATATGTATTGGAGCACTTTGGAAGCTCTTCCATAAGTGAGACCTACAGGAGCTTCTATAGGCTTCAACAAGAAATGATCTAATCAGTTTAATTAATTTGAAAAAAAAAATGAAAATTCATCAACCTTTTGAAACGTTCATAAATAAAATGTTCTCTTAGGTTCTGTAATTTTTTTCCCCAAATAGAGACTTAGTGACAAACTCACAATGGGGCCTGAAGGGGTTTTTGCCCATTGCATTGGCCCTTTGGTGAACATTTTTTTTAAAAAAATAGTTTAAATTAGATTTTGGCCCCGCCCCCCAATTACTGAGCTCTAGATCTGTCCCAATAGAGACCTACCAAATTGTATTTTTTTTTACAAAAAAAATTAAATAAAAAACTCCTACAAGTTAGCTCTTTCATAGCGCTTTCTTAAATAAATGCTCCCATAATTTCACCTCTATTTATTTGAGTATTTTTGTTTAATATAAGCACTCCAAAAATGGCGCTCTTATAGGCCTTTTTACAGTAGTGTCACGAAGTTGGATTTTGAACTCTGACTATAACTATATAAGCAGGTATTCCAAAGAGACTCTCCCTTGGTAAAAGACTTCTCAGAAGGAATTTCACGGCTGGCAGAAAATGGAACTCTCAAGTGTTTGGAAGACCACTGGTTGACACCTCATAAGTGCTCAAGCGACTCAACATCGTCATCTTCTGAAACTGAAAGCCTAACCCTCGCCGACTTTTGGATTCTCTATGTGATAAGTGGTCTCACTTCCACCATCTTCTTGATCGTGGCTCTGTTGAGGACTTACTATGATCAAGAGAAAGAAGGTCAATACATTAATAGCATAGAAGCTTCTGAGAATAATGGTGTCTCGAACAAGACACTTGGAAGATTCGCCGCAGGCATTTACAACAATATTGGCAGTTTGAATTTCAACAATAATGTAGGAAGAGCTGCAACTTTTGGTGGAACACAAACTGTTTGCCATAAGAATTCTTCGAGGTGGGAGAGTGTAAGAACTGATGATGATTATGTTAATCCTCGACGGACCCAATGATCAGTTGGCTTGGAAATGTTATAATAATATGGAATATGTATGTCTCTTGTATATCTCTGTATGTAATCTTAGCTTACATGTGTGTTAGTTTACTGACTAATGTAGATGTGTCTTGTGTATATCTGGAATCAAGGACATTGAAGCATTATTTGAGAAGTAGAGTTAATTTTAGCCTGCTCCAGAAAAATAAATTGGAGTACTAGTTGGCAATTATTTGCTGAATTCATGTCATTTATCATGTACGATGTCTGATTTTATATGATAAATAATATAACATTGAAGGTTATATGAGGTTATGAATCATTTGTTTTGTTTTTTTGTTTTTAAATATCATGTGATTAGTAATTAAAATTGGAAGACAAGAATGCGAGGGGTTTTCTTCTCTACAATTTATCATAAATGTGTTATTATTGATCTTCAAAAATATAATTTAAGAAAATTAATAAGTGTTTCATAATTTAAAAATAAAAAGAAAATAATCATGAGATGTATAATATTTATATAATGTAAATGTATATAATTATTTTAAAATTTAAAGTTTTACAAGTGTATATATATACATATTTCTTGTACATTTCTGTACGCTAGGCTTTTTCTTCTAAGACATATAGTGTATAAAATATAGTTTAGGAATATGATTTACATTTTTAAAAAATTTTTCCCAAAAAATAAACTTTTACCAGTTCAATTGGTTAGAACTGATTCATAGTTTCACCCTATTACTAAATCATACACAAAGTGGTTTTTGATATTGGGTTAAGGTGCATTTTTATTTTTTAACTTTTTTTTATGAGTAATTTTACTTTTCTTGATAAGTGAGCAAATTTACCTTGAATTATTTTTTTTTTTTGGAGAAACACTAGGTATCTTATAGAAGGGATCTTTTCCTCCTCGAAAAAATAATTTTGGAATAAAACTGCCCTACTTATTAGTATAGGGGTAAAATTGTTTCTCGTAAAAAAATTTAGGAGTAAAATTATAGCTTAAGGCTTTTGATATTTAACCTATTGAAACCAGCTTATTCCATTTGGTTTCTTAAACAGTAAATTTAGGTTATACTGTGCCATTTTTTTCGAAACATTTAAGGCAACTTTGCTCTTTTTCTATACATAAAGATACTAATTATATTTTTTTTGGAATATAATAATAATAATATTTTATAAATACTTCAATGACGACTATCCTTTATCTCTAAAACTTATGTGACATTGATAAGTTCACCCAAAAAATTTCAGGTGTCTATTAGTAAAATAAGACGATATCAATTTAAAAATATATATATATATATATATGAATATGTATGTATATGTATGTAAAATATAAAATTGATAACAAGTCATATTATTTATAATTCATTAATAATATAAATCTTCTCAAATTTTAAGCAAAGTATGTGAGCGCAGTTCCAATTACTAGTTTTATCATTTAAATAAACTAAATTAGAACTAAGTAAATTAAAGTAAACAAAGATGAAACTGAAAATTATTGATAAAGTTAAACAATTAAATTGAAAACTAATGATCTAGGTTGTAAGATAATTATAGAATTTAAAGCAAATATTAATGAAATAAATTAAAAAATAAATTTTAAAATACTATTAAGGAAAAATAATTATTTTTAAAAAAATAAGTATATAAAAACCAAATTATGTCATCTGACACCTATGGTCCCCTACATCTCTTCACATTTTTCCTTGCCCAGAAGCTTCGCTGATCCCACCTTGAATTTGTCTTCCACCACACAATTTTAGCATTCAAAGTACCATTCTTCAACTTGAAGCCTTCATGTTCCATATTGAAAAATCAAAACTAAGCATTCAAAGTCACCAAGAATGCAACTTGGAACATTCCTATATATCATTCCTCAATTCATATTCAAAGTTAGAGTGAGACAATTATCCGTCACCATAAACTTCTGATCTTTCCCAGAGAAACTCTTGCCTCCACCATTGTTCTGCAAAAATTGAGATGAGAAATATGAGTATACCCAACATTTCAACGTTGTCGCTTGAACTTACGTGTCATGTGACCCACTTCCTCTTCCTTTATTGAGCATTTTAGAGTCTGCAATTTTGTTGCCCTGCAATTTCGTCTCTAACTTTGCAGTCAACAACTGTATCATTGACCAAGTAAAATATTCAAATTTTTCTACGCTTCCTCTAGAATATATCCCGGGTCTTGTATTGCATGCTGTTATATATGCCATAGTACAAAGCTCGTTCACAAACTAACAATCCATTAATATTTTCTTTTAGATCATTAGCCAAGATTCTGAAGATAAAATGAATTTGTTTTTTACTTTTCCTAAAGAACTTTCAAGATTTTGGGTGTTCATTTTTCTGCTCGTATCTTTCTTTCTTTTTCATAGCTATGGAGATGAGGCTACAAGAGGAGACTATGAAGTTATACGAATTGGCGCAATTATTGATGTCAACTCTCGTGTTGGTAAACAGCAGCAAATAGCCATGGAAGTTGAAGCTCAAAAGTATAACAACACGTCAAAAACTCACAAACTGGCTCTTTATTTCCAGAACGCCAGTAAGGAGCTCTTCAAGATGACCTCTCTAGGTAAGAAATCTCAAGCATTTGCAAAGAAAAATATGTCAGAAAAACCTTGACATATAGGTGAACTTCTTTATAGCCTTTTGCTTTAGCGTCATATGTTTCTCTCTTGACTGTGCTAAACCTGGTTGCAGCTGAAGAATTAATTGATATGCAGAAAGTGGAAGTAATCATAGGGATGCATACATGGCAAGAAGCAGCTCTAGTGGCTGAAGTTGGAAGTCAAGCTCAAGTTCCAATCATATCCTTTGCGTCGCCTGCAATTACCCCACCATTGACACAGAAACGATGGCCTTATCTGGTGAGGCTAGCTAACAATGTGACTGCACAAGTAAAATGCATTGCAGACATCGTGAATGCTTTCAGTTGGCAAAGAGTAGTAACCATTTATGAAGATGACGGCTTTGGCGGTGGAGACTATGGGATGTTGTCACTCCTTTCTGAGGCCCTCCAAGACTTTGGTTCACTAATCGAGCACCGTTTAGCTCTTCCACCAATATCTGTTTTATCAGATCCAGGAGGGCTAATCAATGAAGAGCTGATAAAGTTGGCAAATATAACTCAATCTCGTGTTTTCATTGTTTTGCACTCATCCTTGGAAATGGTGACACATTTGTTCAGAGAAGGTTCGAGGATGGGACTTGTGGATAGAGAAACAGCTTGGATACTCCCAGAGAGCGTAACTAATTTTCTTGAATCTGTGGATAAGTCTGTCATTTCCTCTTATATGGGAGGATCTTTAGGAATCAAGACTCACTGCTCACACAATAGCAGTGAATATCATGACTTTCGAGCTCGGTTCCGACAAAGTTTTCGTGCAAAGAATCCTGAGGAAGATAATAGCAACCCAGGATTTTATGCTTTGCAAGCACGTGATAGCATCAAACTTGTCATTCAAGCAGTAGAAAGAACAGCAAGTGACAAAAGAAGTAGCCCAGAGGCCATGCTAAGAGAAATATTGTCTAGCAATTTCCTTGGTTTAAGTGGGCAAATTCATTTTGAAGCAGGTGCGCTCTTGCAGAATCCTATCCTAAGGATAGTTAATGTAGTTGGGAAGAGTTATAAAGAAATAGATTTTTGGACTCAAGAAAATGGGTTCACCACAAGCCTGCCTACAAGAAAAAGTGAAGAAAATGCTACTGCTGACACACACAGTTTGGATGGGGTTGAACGATGGCCAGGGAATTCCGAGAGGGTTCCAAAAGGTTGGAATATGCCTACAAAGAGAAAGCCATTGAAAATTGCAGTGCCGGGAAGAGCTTCATTTTCCAAGTTTGTCAAAGTAGACTATGGAAAGAATCCTAAGGGATTCTGCATTGATATATTCACAAAGGCTCTTGGACTTTTGGATTATGATCTTCCCTACGAGTTCCACCCTCGCAATGTAACTTATCCTGATCTGATTCAACTGGTGTACAACAAGGTAAAATCTCTTTTCCTTTGATCTCTTCTTTCCTAGCGGTCAAAAAGTAGCAAGACTGAAAACCATGTCTTCCATTATTCATTTGAGTTTTCTTTAAGATGATATGCATCATAGCCAATCAATTTTAAGTAGCCAAATCTAGCACCTTTTTCCCCTTCCCCGACTGGCAAGCTGCCCCCTCTATTTCATATACATTTAAATATATCTTCCTCTTGACGTATGCTATAAGAAAACTTTGACATCACCACATCCAAAACAAAAAATTCTACTGTTTTTCACGTACTAAAAGTATGTACTAGTATAAGAATTCACGTGTGAATATATGTGCATGTGCTTGGTTTACAGTTGTTGTGGATCACTAGATTTAATTGAACTTCGAATATGGGCATCACATTTGTTCTACTTCTCTGAACTAAATCATGATTTGTTCTTTTTGTTGTATTGGAACAATATGGTGGTAAAAGACTTATGACGCAATGGTTGGAGACATGACTTTACTGGCAGAGAGACTGCAATATGTGGATTTTACTGTGCCATATACAGAATCAGGATTGTCAATGATAGTTCCAGTGAAGTCTGAAGACTCAACATGGATGTTTTTGAAGCCCTTCACCTGGAAAGTGTGGGTGGTTACTGGTACCATCTTGATTTACACAATGTTAGTAGTTTGGTACCTTGAACGAGCACCTAATCCAGAGTTTCATGGCAATTGGAAGGACCAGTTTAGTACTGCTTTTTGGTTTACCTTCTCCTCTCTATTCTTTGCCCATAGTAAGTATTTTAGCTAAACCTTAATGATTAACATTCTTTGCTACATTAAACATGTTCTGTTTAGTGTCTCACATGTGTTCCACGCATATTTGATCCAAGAACTAACATTTTACATAATCTGAAAGGCTTGGACCCTTTGCAATATTATAGTGCAAATTAGTTTTACTTTGTTCCAAAATTTTGAGCAGTACTCTGTAGGATTCCTTTCCAATTTTGTCATGTATCATAGTCAGCCTCATATGTCAATATTATTGTTTCTTCGCCTTAAAATGTCAATTAAACTCAACTCTGATATGATCTTACAGGGGAGCAAATGCATAGCAACTTATCTCGTATGGTGATGGGAGCATGGCTGCTTCTAGTTATGGTTCTAAACTCAAGCTACACAGCTAGCCTTTCTTCAATGCTAACAGTTCAACAACTGAGGCCAAATGTCACAAGCATCGAGTGGCTGAAGATGAACAACATGAAAATTGGCTGTGATGGTGACTCATTTATCAGGACATACCTACAGAAAGTTGAAAAGTTCAAGCCAGAAAACATCATCACTGTAAATAGTGAGAACTATTATGACAGCAATTTCAAAAACAACTCGATCGCAGCCGCTTTTCTTGAACTCCCTTATGCAAAAGTGTTCATGAGTAAATACTGTAAGGGATACTCTAGTACCAAGCCCGCCACCAGATTTGGAGGACTAGGCTTTGTAAGTAGCTATATGAATCTTGTGGGTATGGAGTTTCGACCGATAAACATTATTATATATAGACATAGATAGTAAGTAATTAGTTGTCTATAAAGTTATAGCAAACAATATACATATAGCTTCACATAGTTAAACATTTAACATTGTTCTTGATAGGTCTTAGAATGGTTTTGGTACCTTCTGCTAAATAGCCTGTACATATGTTTTATTTAATATGCAGGTGTTCCAGAAAGGCTCTCCAGTGGCCAAAGATATTTCTAAAGCAATATTGCAACTGTCAGAGCAAGGAGAACTGACCAACTTGGAAGCAAATTGGTTATATAGCTCAAAAGATTGCTCTAACAACACAGATTCTAATGATACACAGAGTTTAAAGCTTGGAAGTTTCTGGGTTCTCTTTGTCATTTCTGGGGTCACATCTACCATTTGCTTGCTATTTTCTATCATCCAGTCATTAGGCTTTTTTCGTAGCCCTCAAAATGTGGCTGAAGAAGGTCATAATGAACCCACAAGTGATACTAGAACTAGAGTTTGGTTAAGAGCTATTGAATTGGCTAAGCAGATTTACAGCAGAAAGCTTATTAAGGAACCTGGGCCCACAAGTGAGGCACAACAAGATGTAACTAATTGTTCTTCTAGATGGGACTGTGTCAGTGCCATTGAACAAGGTTCTACATCACCAGTGTCAACATTAACTGTGCTCTGTCTCTCTACCACACGAAACACAAATGGGAACTCTTGATAATAGATGATTTACAAGGAGCGAGTATAGTCCCTCCGTTTTTAAATATAATCAAAAATTTTATATGCTTTCTTGCTTTTTCTATAAGAAAAACAATAATTGTCAAGAAGGATTTATGATGTCTTTCCATAATTGCCCTTCATTAAATGATAGTATCATTAATTTAGGAAAAAAAATGAAGGATTGATCACTTGGGTATTTTAATCTAAAATTTTCAATTTCAAGCATAATTATTAGAATTAATCAATTTTCTTAAAATCTATGAATTAGTTAAAATTTACTTAGATTTGAAAACTGAGGAGTATATCTAACACTTGGATTTAAAAGAAGGTAATTTGCTTTAATTTGTGATGTGAATAGGAAATATACCAATTATTAACAAAAGAGCGAATAAAAAATTTATGAAATTTATGTTTTATGTAGTTAAGTCTATTAGCTTACTGTCTTGAACTCCGAGTGACTTCTTTGAATTTCTAGCTCATACATACATACATACATACATTGAAATTCATGGTTTTTAGTTGTCAACAACATATTCTAATTTAACAAGTCAATTTTTGGTTGGATCAGATCGCATTTTTTAACTAAAATTTCAAGTTGTCCAAAAAATTTAACAATTGCAAAAACAGATAGGGTTATATATATAATATATATTGTTGCTGTAGAGGTAATATTACATCATTTTTAAAAGTTAAAGAGGAACATTATACTAAAAAAGTTAAAATCATCACAATATTTCTCGAGTAGTAGTATTAGTATCCTAAATTATTTATTGAAACAATGTCACTCCTCAAATGTTTAAATCATCCTCAAATGTTTAAATCATCACAATATATATCTCTCTTTGACTAATGGATATCGACATTTTTCTGTTAACTTTATGTTGGTTTGGGTTCAAAATTATTTTTGTCCCTAAAGTATTAAGAGGAGTAACAAATAACAATAATATCACATGTTATGCATATCTATTTATATCATTATAGGTTACGGTTAATATATAATTTGGATCCTAAACTATAAGTCCAATGGTAATTTCAACCTTAAACTCATATTTAGTATAGTTTGAATCCTCGACAATTAAATTTAGAACAACTTCACCCCCTCTGTTAATTTAGAATTAATGTTTGTTTCCTTTAAGCATAGTGCAACCCATGCTTCTTTATTTTTGACACCATTCATGCCCTTGTCCTACTTCTCCCACTTGCTCTTTGTTTCTAACACATGTTTCTTGTTCATAGCACATGGAAAATTGTGAAATCCGTGACGTTGGCTGCCTAGAAGTGTATATATATGATTTTTAAGCATTAAGTAGACTCCACAACAAATTAAATTAAAACTAGCACAAACGCATATGAATCCAAGTCACCTATATTAGAAATCAATCTGTAATTTACTAAATTAAAAGAAAATAAATTATAAACAAACCTCACATGGATATCTATGAACTTGGCTCCATTTGAAGCAATTAAAAAATGTCACAAGCCAATGCAATTTTGAATCCAACCATCTTGGTAAACCCTCTAACGTCACCCTGGAAGACATCTTTTACTGCAGTTAGGTCAACACTAGAATAGAACACTCAACTTGAGCCAGTCAATATGATTACTCACATCAAATCACCCTCATCTAACCTCTTAAATGCTTCAGACAAGTCAACCATCATCAATCAAAGCAACGAGTTCAGAGAATTAAGACAATTGATTGTGACCAAAGTGATGTTGTTTGGCTCATGTTAGACGAGTATGAGCTTCTTCTTTGGTGACAATGACACTAGCGAACCTTGAACTCATACATTCAGAAGTGTTTGGAAAAGTATGAACCTAGATTATTGTAAAAGGATTTGTTCATGAGATTGTTATAGTCATGCCCCGAAAATAAAAGGTGACTAGCATAGGGTGTAAACCACATCACACATTTCCTAAACCTTGAATCGAGAAATCTTTTTATTACTAAAATGTAATTAAATTTATACTGAAATTATAGTACCCTTAATATCATATGCATATGACAAAAGTTTTAATATTTTTGTAAAAATTTTGGTAGAACCTTCCTAGTAAATAGGACATTTCAAAAATTCTACAATACAATGTTTCAATAAAAATATCAAATCAATCAGGAACTCTGCTCTTTCCAACTAGCAATAGAGTGTATATATATGTATATATATAAAGATCTTAGCTAAAGCCTATGTGGAGCACCTAACACATTTTTCATAATATAACATATAGATTTGATCATTACATCAAAAAGGATAATAGCAAAATAATTATCGTCCTAGCTCAAAAGTAGGCCTTCAGTGGTTAGCAGAAGGTTCAACATCAGCTAAGGTATTTGAGACTAAAAATAATTTTTTAATAAATAACTTCCCAATTTACAATTGAAGGAAGTAAGGGAAAATACATCAATGAATCAATTCACAAAAATATTCAATTGAAAATAATATAAGCACATACCTCATATTTATCAAAGTCATATCAAAGTGTAAACCATGATTGTGTGAATTCAAATAAAATTTATTAGAAATTCAAATTCCACTTTAAACTTCAACATATTCTTAAACGTGTTGAGATTTACCATATAAATCCATATATGGTAAAAATAACAATTTACTTTAGAAAATATTTTTAAAAAATAAGTTTCAAAACTCATTCTTTAGTAGGAATTAGTTAGAATGATTAACAAGCATGGACTGTATGTAAATAACTATCAAGTATGGACACATAGTCCACAAGGATATGCATATACCTAGCAAGCACAACTAGAAGCTACAAAACAAGCATAACAAAAGGCCACGAATAACAAGCCTAGTAATAAGGCCCACAAGACAAGCGTAATACAATACTCACAAATACTAAACTTGTGATGTCTACCTTGACATTACCTGGACAACACTCACATATCATTGTGATAACCCAAATTAAATAAAATTCTTAAAAGTTACCACAACTCAAGGGTTCAAAGATAATTAGTTAAAACATTTGAATCTCAAGAAAACCCTTTTTAAAAATATTTTTTGAGCTTAAACCATGATTAAAAATCAGTTAAGAGAAAATACAAAAGCAAAGGAAACAAACTACATTAAAATCTGGCTTAAACGCCATTTTTCACTAATACTAGTCCGTCCGCCGTGAAGGATGGCACAGAGGGATGAATCCCTCGAGGGCCTCTTGCACCGCAGTTCAACAATCATGCACCACAGCGCGCACCTACTGTCATGATAACAGATGCTGTGATGACTTTTCTCCAAACTTCCGGAGCGCGCCGTTTTGCCATCCAACATCTGATTTGAGTTATTTAAGTGTCCACACGAAGCTATTTCAGCCCTCTAGCTAATGACACCGATCTTACACCCAAATAATCATCCATTTAAAAGATGGACACCCAAACTCAAAATGGTTCATTTTCACAACAAAACACATACTATGATGTCTAACTCACAATACACAATGCCATTAGCCCCGGAGACAACTTGACCACCTCAAATGGACCATGCACCACATAATAATCCATTCATATCACACAATTAAGTAATCATGCTCAAAATGACCACCAAATCCCTATTGGACAAGTAGACAAAATTCAACACATCAATCAATTAGTCATTTTGACACTCAAAACACTTAATATATATATACATATATATAAAAATCACTTATAAGCAACTTGGCCAAGCACACAATTAATCTATATCTTCATTCTTAGACCAAGATATACATACTTATCACAATTTCATACAAGTGATATTCAAATAATGTCATGTTCCTAAGTTGGCAATAATTATCAATAATATTCATTACAACACACAAAAAGAGAAAAAGGAAGAGCTATACAATAATGCTCTTCACTTTTCAAATGCCCCTGCCTTTCCCTTGCCCCTACCAAAGCCTTCACCTGTAAAATATAACCACAAGGTGAGATAAACATCTTAGTAACCAATATAGCTCATTAAATGTTTATTACCACAAATAACCATGAAAAAGTATTAAAACCATATAAATACCAAGCACACCATAATTATGAGATACATGGATCTCTTCTCAACAAAACACATAGTTTTTACACTGACATGATCATCTAACCACCAAACCTCCAATGCTCCCCGACATGAAACCATAGGCTCTCCTAGTCAACTACTTGTTGACCCGAGCACACTGTTGATAGTAGAAATACCCAGCCAAAGGTAATCTAACCTGCTACGAACTATGATTTTTTTCTCTTCACACACTTGTGATAGAGGCATTGTTGACTCCTAACCACACCCTAACAGGTATTAGGGAGTTGCCAGACTGCCCGGATGTCCCATGGTGTCAGCCCAACCATATGAATTTTTTACTCACATATCTCCACACACACATATCCTCACATATCTTAGATGAACTCCCACCCCTATGATCATGCTTTTTTACAATTTTCACTACTTTTCATCACATTTTCACATCACACTTATATACATAGTATATATATTTCAATTAGAAATAATAACCATTTACAAAACACTTTTTCATGCTAAAATCATTTACAATGTCAAATTATGCATAAAATTCTTCAAAGCCACTACTTTATCATTTAAAATTATTTCTACACAATTACAATAGTTAATAAATACAATAAACTATATGGTTACCTCAACCCTTTTGTCACACAAAAAAGGTTATCTTGGCTTAACGTTAGCTTCACATGTTCTATACGCATAATATGGCTCGAGCAATCTCAATCTATACCAATAGGTGACTGTAAAGACCTTAAAATTTCAAATACATATATATATATATTCTCTCAATTTATATTTTATTTAAATTAGTTTTATGACAAATGGAAAGTGGTGATCTAGTGAAACTTATGCTAATAGTTTATTTGAAGGTCCAAAGTTTGAATTCTTTTGAGCAATGGGTTAAATTTTATTAGTTTAAAATTTTGGAAAAAATTACAAGAAGTGCCCGTTTCTCTTTGTTATTAGAGAAAATGTTGTGCCCTCTCTTATAATTTTTACAATTTCCTAATAATTAGATTTTTATTCCTCTTC